TTTGAAAATACATTTAACCTTTGTTTTTGGTTCAAGAATAATCCTCCTTCCCCTTTAAGAAATTATCAAAGTTTCGACATTAGCGTGTACATTTTTTCAAGGAAAATAAGGTCTTGAAAAATGATTTTCCTAGTGAAAATAAGAAAAATAAATTCTAGACATGACACCCTCCAACACTTCTCACCATCACCTCGATAGCCTCCATCTCTATCACTCACATCCCTACAAATACTTTAATTTTTGAACATTTTTTGAGCTATATACCTTCCATCCATTATTGTTTGTCAAGTATATTAAAAATAGTTATTTAAAATTAATTATTATTTTAAATAATTAAAAAATAATTAGTCATTTATTTTTTTAAATTTTATCCTTAATAATTACATAACTACTGATTTCAAAAAATAGTTATTTTAAAGTTACAAGGCTACTTTAATGTGAAAAACAGAAAAAAATACTTTTACGATTTTCAAAAAGTACAAATCATTTTAATAATGATTGATAGTAAGATTTAATATTAATCAAATTACATTTTATATTAAATTTTCTTAAGAATTGTGTATAATCTTATCGTGACAAATAATTGTGAATGAATGAAGTAATAAACACAAGAAGTTAAAAGGAATCTTTTTTTTCAAGAAAACATTATCATCTATAGAAAACATTAAATATTTTTTAACCCATTTACTAAATTAAAAAACCCTTAAAAATTCTAATTGGTTCACTTAAAAAATGATCAACTCAAGGAAAACATATTCAAACGCGTGCTGACAGTTTTTCAAGCGCGATTACCAATTTATTTATTACAACTCAGGAAAGTTTCCCACCTTTATCTGGTAGGTGTTTGGGCAATTCATATTGGATATGAAATGCGGCGAGGGTTATTGAGTGAGGAATTAAACTTTCACGAGATTAGAGTTCAGCTAATCAACCAACTAAGATACTAAAAATTCTTCAAAAGAATTCAAATCCAATCCAAATCTGTTTATTTTTCAAAAGTTAGGTTGAAACCCTAAGAAAATTGAGATTTTGGTTTGTATTCGATTTTGCCCAATTTGTAATTTATTCTTCAAACAAGTACCTTCATTGACTTCGACTTTACAAATGACTAAATTGGTTTCGCTGTAACCCATATTGTAATGATATCTCTACTTATAATAATGACATTGTAGGTGTTCCTTACTCTCTATTAAATCTAGAGATCCCCGATTTGGGGACACTTGTTGGAAGCCTAGCGAATCTTAGAGAACTTTACCTTGATGGTGTGAATGTTTCATTGAAGTTTTGCTTTGGGATCTTCTGTGGGCTTTGGCCTCATAATCTGGCTGCTTTTGCAAAAGTCAAAGATATCATTTTTAAACTATTTGGCTCTTTCACTTTTATACAAACAGTACTGCTAGAGTCCTTATTGTTTACATTCATTTTTCG